TCAGAGATGTATCTGTCCTCACGCATGCAGTGTGTAACCCTGTATACCCAAGATGATGATGGTGGTGGTGGTGGGCCATTTACTGGCAGCCCAAGTGCTTTGCAGTCATCATCTCATCATACTCAACCCTTAAGGAAAATCATCTGAGACATATTATTATTATTCTCATTTCATAGATGAGGAAACCAAAGTTCTGAGAAGTTAAGTAACTTGCCAGGGCCACACAGTTTGAAAGTGATAAAACTGGGAGCCAAACTCCTGCCCACACTATCAGCCCTTTTTCATTTAGTCAGATACACATGCAACACTCATACATGCACAAGCACGTGTGCGCGCACACACGTGCACACACACAAACCCTGCCTCCCCAGTCAGCGCAGGTGATTGATGTCCACAGGGTCATCTTCTCCACCCTGGCTTCCTCACAGGCACCGCTCCCAGGTCCTCACAGTACGGCCCTGACATTCATGAGAACCCCTGGCCTGGGGACCTATGAGCATAGCCTGTTGCCCACAAAGACCCCCTCCCTTCCTCTCCACATCCCCTCCCCCCAGCAGCTGCAGGCCCCGGCCCAGCTGGGGGCGGCCCTGGGATTCGGATGGGTGACTCAAGCTGAATCATGGCTCAACTGCTCATAGGCAGCCCTCTCCCCGATTCTGCCCAAAGAAACTATTTTGAAGGCAGAGACGGGCCCTGGGGTAGGGGACAGGGAGTGGTGGCAGGAGAAAATAAGGACAGAGGGCAGGGGCACTTGAGAAGGAGGACTCAGGCACAAAAGAGCCTCAGTGCCCCTCTTCAGTCCTCAGTGGTCTGCAGGTGCTCTCAGGCAGCCCCCACCGATTCTGCCAGCGAAGAGGGTCCTTCTACCTAGACATGGGCAGGGGGTTCCCTCTCTGATCACAGAGCCCACTTTGGCTCCTGTGCCCCCACCTTTTGGCCCTAATAACAACAACAATATCAATATTTACTATGCTAATTGATCACTCACGTGTTGCAGTATTCTACAGTTTTCAAAGCACTTTCTCTTCAGTATCGCATTTAATTCTCTTCTTAGTCCAGCGGAGTGGAAATGGGCATCCTTACGTTTGAGCTGAGGAAACTGACGCTCAGGGAAGTTATATGAACCAGCCAAGGTCACACAGTTGGTGAAATGAACCAAGCTTAGGCTTCTTGGTCCAATCCGTAGAAGGTGAGCATTGAGGCTGGAGCCGAGCTGCAGCTGGGCATGGTGGGGGCATGGTGGGGGAATGTGGGACGTTGCAGGACTGTGGCAGGGCCATGGCTGGGGCATCGAATGGGGCACAGGGGAGTGGCAAGGTAGGGGGCACGCGGAGTGTAGATGGATGCATGCCTGGTGGCTTGAGTGTGATAGGCTCATTACAAAATTTTTTCTTCTTACCCTTATGTAAAGAATGAAGTGTGGGATTATTTATGCTTCTAAATCTTTTCCGTGTTTCAGGCCAGTAGCCTAAGGCTAACAAGGGCACAGCCATGGAGTTTCTACTGAGAAGACGACTTACAGGACCTTTGTTTCCCAAAGCCTCAGTTTCCTCACCTGAAGAAATGGGTCCAGACCTCCAGTGGGGCAGGCTGTGGAGAGGCACTAGGGCAATCCTGTGCCTCATGCCCTTTAGAAGCCATGAAGGACTTCACAAAGGCGTCTGTTGTTCACATTTTGTTTTATCTTAAAAAAAATACACCCGTGGGTGCTGGGCAAAGGGCAGGTGGGCTTCTGGGAACCCAGGGGTGGTGCCGAGAGGGGGAGTGGGTGACAGCTCCTCCTTCCCCCTGCCTGGGCTCGGCCTGGCCTTCCCCCACCCTCAGCCCAGAGCCGGTTTCTAGGCAACAGGATGGATGCAGGGATGGTTCGGAGGGGAGAGAGCTATAAATAGGGAAGGGAGAAAACAAAAATAAAGTTCCAGAGAAGACTGTGGAGCCGCATTACTAGGGGTGGGGGTGGGGAGATGGGGAGGGAGATGGGCAAATGGTGGGGCACAGGGACAGCCCCTTTCACTTCATCAGGGGAGAGGGCAGTTTCAGGTTAGCCAGTGGGCAAAGGTCCACAGAGCACCGCCATGGGTGAGGAGGGGGTCTCTGTGTGCACAGTTGAGCGGGATGGGGATGACTAGAAGTCACTTCTGGATGAAGGGCCACGGGAAGCTCAGAAGAGGGAAGCGTTGCAGGCAGATGTCCAGGTGGAGGAAAGACACAGGCAGAGGAAAGGAAGGTGTGGACCAGGTGAGGCGGAGAACTGGACCCACAGATTTTGGAGGCCTGGCCGGGCTTGGCCCCCTTGACCACACACCCCGTGTCCATACAAACACAGGTGGGCTCTCCCCAGATCTCCTATGCCACCTCCTCTTCATTCAGGTTTCAGCTCCAACCTCGCCTCCTCAGAGGTCTGACCTGACCATCCAACTGAATGTTGGTCACGACCCCCTCCCTATTACAGTCCATCACATCAGTCTGTTTTATGTTCTTCATAAAACTCAAAATTATCTTGACCCGTGTATTTGTTGATCCATGGACATGAGTTCTGTCAGGGCAGCAACCTGCAGCCCCTTACTTCCAAGAACAGAGCAGGTGAGCAACACCCACTGGCCAGTGACTAAACACACAGAACACGTGGGCAGCATCTATATACACTTGTGAACACAGAACACCCGCATCCATACCCAAGTGTGCACACACAGCTCAACGCCCCCTCCGCTACCACACACACGATCTCACTTGCGGTCTCCACAAAATTGCACAGGAGCCTGTGATCTTTGCTCTGCTGCACCCACATTTTCCTATTGTCAGTGGGTTTTGTCTGTCCTTCCTCAGAGCAAGTCCCTTCGGAAAATTCCAAAGAAACTGGGCTTCAGGCTTGGAGTTGAATGTGGCCTAGGGCAGGCAACTTTGCCTCTCTTGCTTCCATTGTCCTATCTGTAAATTGGAGCTACTAACAAGGAATCCTTGCGGACAGTCTCCAGTGAAATGAATGGAAGCAAATGCTGGATGCCTGGGACAAACTGGGCACTGGGGAAATGGCTCTGTCCCTGTCACAAGGGAGGAGACATGAGCCGTGCGTTGTCACACACACACACTCAGTCAGGACTGCCATCTGACACAGGGTTGGCATATTCCGCTGGCGCTTCTGGGCCTGTGCCTGGAATGCATTTAAAGTGACCCCTGCAGCTGAGGACATTGGTCTCTGAGTAGAAAACCAAGCTCAGAAAACCAGGTGCATGGCTTGACACCCGGGAAGGAGGAATAAACCTCTTCACAAGCCAGATGGTGAACCTGGTTTTGGCATCTAAAAATGGGGATCAGGTGCTGGTAGCTGGCGAGGAAGTGGCAAACTCAGATTCTTTAGAGGCCAGGCAGTTCATGAAAACGAGTGAAGCGGATGGGAGGAACGCAAGGGACTGCGGCCAACTAGAATGAAAAATAAATAAACCTTGCACTAGCAAATTAAACATCTCTACAGGCCAAATTCAACCTAAGGGCCACCAGTTTTCTATCCCTGTGGACTGTGGGTTATAATAGTGTCTTAATTCAGCCAAAAGGGAGCTGGAAAACCTGGCACCTGCACGTTGGGTCAGAGAATCGAAGCCCACCGGTTTGTTCTCCTTGCACACGAATCTGCCAGCAGGTTCCTACTTCCAGAAGCAAAGGCAGGCCAAGGTGACCCGAGAGGACCAGTCTCCCCCAGCTTTCAAGGCCTTCCCGAGCTTGGCACCATCTCCCGCCCCCATCGACTCCGAGAAGGGGGCGCTAAACATTTGGGGGTTAATTGAATAGAGCAGGCTCCTTCCAGCCCTTGGGGCTGCAGGGGCGACGCAAGGCTTGGGTCGGAAAGGAGGTCGGACCTGACATAGAAGGGGTGGGGTCTTGCTTTGGCGACATTGGGGGCTATTGCTGGGAAGCAAGACTGGGCTTCCGCATGGGCGGGGGCGGGGCCTCCGTGTGGGTGGTGACGGGGCCTTTGTAGGAGCCAGGTTTGGGGGTTGCTGCGGCGGAAGAGGGCAAGAGCGCTGCGTCGACGGGGGCGGGGCCTATCACTGGTTGGGTCGGGGCCTCCACGAGGGCGTGGCGTGGGGAGCTTCTGTGCCAATCAGAAAAGTGCCTCTGCCTTGTTGGAGGTGGGGCCTCTGTGCAGCCCCGTGGCGTCTCCGCCCCATTTTTTCCCATAAGGAGGTGGTGTTGGGGGCCCTCTAGTGCCGATCCGGATCCGCTCAAGGCTTCCGGCCGGCTTCCCAGGTTTTTGCAGACCTTTGCTCTTGTCAGCCGAGGTCGCAAACTTTCGGGTGCCTTTCCTGGAAGGGTAGCGCACCGATCGCCCGTACTCTAATTTTTTGGGGGAGGGGGGCAACTGCCCATTTCCCCTCCACTGGGATGAGTTTTTTTGCGGTGGACAGGTGTGCGCAGGGGTGTGTACATGTAAATTTCGGGGAGTGGTGGGGGACAAAGGTTTACGCATAGCAGCTTCTTTCAGGGCCCACGCTGCTAGTTTCCAACAGCTTCTTCGCAGCACGCGTCCAACAGCACGCGTCCAACTATGAGTGCGCGCGCGAGTCTGCACGTGTCTGCCAGCATGCGTGCACGTGCGTGCCTGCCCAGTGCGTGCACTCGGACTGGCTCGCAAGGACCAGCGTACGTGCACACGTGTCCGCGCGTGCGTGGCCGTCGATGCGCCTGCGCTGCATGTGCAGTGAGGTGTGAGCGGGTCGGCCCTGAGCAATCAGCTGCCCCTCGGTCTTGCGTCGTCAGTAGGTGATTTACGGTACGGTAGGTGGCGCCCGAGGCCGCCTTCCCGCCTCCCAGTCTGCAGCCTGTCTCAGCCTGGTCCTCCGGGGGAGGGTAGGAGATGGAGAAGCTGAGGCCCGAGGTGGCCAGTCTTGTACCTGGACTGAATGTGCCGGGCCCCAAAGAGGGGACTGGGGCAGGCTGGGACCTGGAAGCCCGTAGGCCGTCTTCACCCGGCCCCCACCTCAGCCCAGCCCTGCCCGTGCGGCGCCTGCTACAGACAGATTGGCTTTATTCATGGACACGCGGGGGGCGGCCGGGCCCGCCCTCCCGGGACACGCTCACACGGGGGTGGGGGACTTTCCATGCCACAATCACGACACACGACGCCCGCGCTCAGACCGGGCCGGCTGGGGAAGGGGGCATGGCACAGCCTGACTCCTGGTTTTGGTTTAAAAAAAAAGGTTCTTGGGGTCGATGTGGGAGTGGGGTGCGGGGCTCTGGGGCTGCCTGGGGACCCCTCAAATAGCCTCTGTCGGCGGTGGAGGGGAGCCGTCACTTTCCGATCTTCTTTTAAAAATACATAGAACATGCTACTTCCGCGCAGACACTGGACGGGGTGGGGCAGGGAGGGGGCAACAAAGGTGGAGCGAGGCTCCCAGCCGTGGCCGCAGCCCCGGCCCTGTCCACGTCCCAGGGTTGGACGCGGGCGGGTAGGACAGACAGATGGACAGACACTAACACAGGCTCCGAGGGGGCGCCCCGGAGCGAAAGGAAGATCTCGTGTTTTAAGGGGAAGGGGTTGGAGGACAGCCCTGGCTCTGGGGGGCGGGGCAGCGGACAGGGGAGGGATTGTGCTGCTGGTAGGGGGCCGTCCTGGGCCCTCACGCCTCTGGCTCATACTCCTGATACTCTTCCTGCATCAGAGGGATGGGGATGGAGTGGAGAAGAGCAAAAGAGGAAGGAGTTGGAGACCAAGCAGCGAGGCCGGGCCCTGAGACCCCTCCCCCTCAAGGAGGAACAGTGCATTCCCCTCCCCCTGGGCAGGGGAGAAATCTGGAAGTTGGAGACAGCTGGGATGTTCCTGGGGAAGGGTGCCTGGGGCCCAGTGCTAGGCCACATCTGTCCTCCCTCCCTGCTGCCACCTCCAGGGTGTGGGTTCTAGAAAGGGGGGCTTGAAGCTCCCTGGTCCAACCTTATGCTGCCAGGAACCTCCCACCCCAGCTGGAGTTGGCAGCAGTCCTGGAGATGCCCACAGCCCCACCCAGCCTAGCCACCGCTCACCTGGGGCGCTTCCTCATAGCTCTCCCCTTCTGGCTCCATCAGGGGCTCAATCAGCGGCTCCTCAGAGGCTTCCTGGGCCACTTCCTCTGGCTACGGGCAGAGAAGAGACAGGGCCCATGAGGCCAGCTGGGGATGCCTCCCCAAATTCCTACCCTGGGAAGCTTTTGACTGATTGGGGGAAGGCTAGGCTTTGTTGGCAGTGCAACCAAAGTTTTTAATTAAATTGTTTATTTACAGTGCCTTGGAAGTGGGCTGGAGGACTGAAATGCCTCCAATCACCACTTGAAGCTGGGGTGGTGAGGGGGAGTGGGCTCTCCATGCCCCCTCCCCAGCACCTGGCACCTGGCAGCCTCCTGCACTCCCATCATTTGGACCGGATCGGATGGAGAGGTAGACGGGGCGCACACAGTCACCCATTTATCCCTACTCCCTTTGTGTCAGCTCTGTGGGGGGTCAGGTATCTGCACCCCAGAAATAACCCTGGAGTCTCCTCTGGGGTGGAGGGAGATGGAGGCTCAGGGACAGAGCTGAGCAGGGGCTCTGAGCCATTCCCCTGCCACTTTCCAACCATCCCTCCCCCAGGGCCCTGTGTGGCCTGGTTTCTTCAGCTGTTGCTATTTTAAGATAAGCCGAAGCAACAGCTCATGGTGTTGCTTGGATGTGTGAGCTAAGACTCTCCCCTCCCCACTGCATCTGCTGCCCAGACGAGTGCAGGCCAGCAGGCACACAAATAGGGGGCTGCCAGACACATGGCCAGTCCCCTGTGGGCGAGCACATGTCTGTGCACAAACACACGGGACTGAGCTGGCTGCACGCGTGGGCACGCAAGGTAACCTGGGGTCCATGCACAGCTGCGCAAGGCCACATGCGGGTTGGCACAAGCCTGGACCTGCAGGGAAGCCCATAGGCAGAGGGCACACCACCTTCCCCACTTCCACAGGTAGCCGCTGTCCCTCCCTACTGGGCAGAGATAAGAATCTTGGGATCCTGGAGGGCCAGCACTGAGAAGTTCTCCCTGACTACCTGTGCCCTGTATTTGCTCAGCTCCATCCAGACAGCTTCACCGCCTCCACATTACCTGTCCAGGTGGGCCCTGTGGGCTCATGAATTTGCGCTCCTGACGTAGCTCATTTCCCCCAGTCACACATGGGTCCTCCATGGCCCGGGAGGTGGGGAAATGTTAGTTCGCCTAAAATCACCCAGCTATGACCAGAACCCAGGAAAGAGAGAGTGTGAGGAGTCCCAGCTCTGCCCACTGTTCGGAAACAAATCAGATGTCCAACCACAGCAGAATGGAGGTGGGGAGGGTGGTCCTGTTGCACACAGGACACTGCACATCAAAGTGGGGACACAACGGCATGGCTGACTCTCAGCGCTTACTGATGGGTGACAGAAGCCAGGTACCGAACAGAGTGCACTTTAGGATAACATTTCTATGACGTTGAAAAACACCCAGGGTATTTGTGGTGATGGAGGTGAGGAAGCTATTAGCTACAGAGAAGGAGGCACGGCCAGGACGAAGGCGCCTTGGGTGCAAGAATTAAGAAGGCACCTCCTTTCAAGGCCATGCCAGTGAGACCCCAGAATAAGTGCCCCCCTTAAATTCTGTGCCCCAGACACCGCACTAGTCTTGGCCCTGGGAGTAAGGGCTGGGAGGGGGCGTAAGGGGGGCTTCATAGGGGCTGACTTTCTTTTGCGTCTTGACCTGGGTGCTGGTTACTTGCGGGGAGTCCCGTTTGTGAAAATTTCGGGGAGCTGCATGCTTTCTGCATGAATGCAGTACTTCAGTAAAGAGTTCACTTAAAAACCACCCCAGCATGGCCCCTCACTAGCTGTTTGGCATCAGGTAAGTCACTTTACTTTTTAGATCTCAGCTGCCTCGGGTTGGAAATGGGATGGCGTTTCTGCCTTGTGTGAGTGTGGGGAGGCTCCCATGATAACGTATGCGAGCAGACTGGGAGGCAGAGCCAGAAATGGGCACCCCTGGCTTGCACGGGTTCTCCACGGGCCCAGTGGCCCCAAAGGCCTGCCTTTGGATTGTAAGTCTATGATCTTGAGCTCCAGAGAGAGAGAGAGAGAGAGAGAGAGAGAGAGAGAAAAGGCTTGAGGTGTCAACAAGTGCTGGTAAGAGGAAAGCAGCCTGAGAGAAATGATTCTGTGCAAAGGCTGCTCACACACAGCCTCGAGGCTGACAGCTCAGTCCCAGACCTGCCTCCCTGCACCCCAGCTCTCAGAGCAGGGCCTGGCCCGTGTCAGCACCAAGCGACTCTGGTGACTTAAACCTGAGCTTATCCTCCCAACCACCTTCTCAGAGGGGTAGGGGCAGGCGGGATGCGGGATCTTGGGCAAGTCACTTCCCTCTCTGAGCCTCAGTTCCTTCATCAGTAAAATGGGCTAATTGGGAAGACTTCTTTATAGGGATGTGGTGCAGATTCAGTAAGTGACTCTGTGTACAATGTCTAGAACAGTGCCTGCCCACACAAGAGATCAGTGAATGGGAGCGATCACTGAAAATGTAACGATAAGAAATGGGAAGTCACACAGTTGGTAAAATGCAGAGACGGGACTTGAACCAGAACTTCTGAGTCAGGTTCCAGACTTCTGACAGGGGAAGGAACCAACTGTGCAAAATGTCTGGAATGGAGGGTGGCATGGGGTCTCCTCCGAAAGCCCGATGGATACACTCACGCTGAATACACACTGGTCTCTTAAACCTCACACTGAAGGGGGCCCCACCCCCATGGAGGCAGAATCTGTGCTTGTACATGGACCACACGGAACTCCCTCATGAGAGGCATGTCTGTACAGACATAAAGGCCCATCTGTGGTCCACTGTCACAGCGGTACATGTCCTTGCACACCTGTGGTGACATGAGCCCCCAGGGGCACACACACAGACTGCTCACGTGACGGCGGGGCCACCATCTCTTACTGAACACTCACTGTACACAATCCAGGCTCTTTATATCGGTGAGTCTCAACGTGTAGTCCCTTCCCTGCAGCATCAGCCTCACCTGAGTACCTGTTAAACATGCAGATTCTCGGGCCTCACCTCAGAACTCTGAATCAGAAATTCTAGAGATAGAGCCAACAGTCAGTCTTTTACGCTGGCCTCCTGGTGAGCTGATGCACACTGAAGTTTTTGAGAACCTCTGATGAACATTGTCTGTAATCTACATAAGAGTCCTCCTGTGTCTGTCTCCCATCTTAGAGGCAAAGAATCCGGCTCAGAGCTATGATGGGACCTGCCCAGGGTCACACAGTCAGGAAGTAGTGGAGTTGGGATTCAAATCTAGCTCTGTGGGACTCCAGGGCTCACAGATCTCACCCTCCAGTGTGTCCTAATGCAGGCATCTGACTTCATGCACCCATGAGGTAGCCACCGCCACTTGCCTGGGGGACCATGTCCGCACAAATGTGTGACACACAGTTCACCCCTCCTCATGGCCCACATCTGCTCATACCTGCCTCAGGGCCTTTGCACATGCTGTTCCTACTGCCTGAAACACACTTCCCATATGGCTTGCCTCATTTCTTGGGTGTCAGCTCTAATGTCACTCCTCAACTAAAGTAGCCTCCTTACCCCTTGACTCTCTAGCCTGTGACCCTTGTCATTTCTTCATAGCACATACCCTTGTCTGAAATCATCTTGCTTACTGGTTAGCTTTTTACTGTATCTTCTCCCACTACAGTGTCAGCTCCATGAATGTAGGAACCTATTCACTGCAGTAACTCCTAAAACAATCCCTCTCTGGCATGAATGCTCGCTGAATGAAAAGACATGAATGAACAATCAGTGACACGTGAGGATTTGGCCCATAGTGATTCAGGTCACACTCACAAGCAGGATGCATGCATCCAGCCAGATCTGGGTCACAGTCACGGGGAGCGCCATGCCCATATACAGCTTCACATGGACTCATTCTGAGCCAGATCTAGCAGGGCCCTGCAGAACATGAGGCGGGAAGGCTTGTGCCCTAGGCTGGCCGGGGGAGCAGGGAGCCTGGTGTGTGTGTGTGTGTGTGTGTGTGTGTGTTGTGTGGCGGAAGTCTAGCTCACCTTCAGTATCAGGTGGG